TAAAAATAATTTATTATAAATCTTAAATATAAAGCACGGACATAAGAACGTGCCTTATCTGCTAGTAATAATATAAGTTGTTATAATACGGAAATTTCTCTACAAATTCGTCTGCAAAAGTGCTGCATAGTTGGCGCACGAATGCCGTAGGTGCGTTACATAGATGAGGTAAGGAGAACACTCCCGTTTTTTATTTTTGGAAAAAAATCACTGCTATCAAGCGATAAAACTTCGTTTGATTACCAAATTGCATCAATTATACCGTACGTCGCGGTGTATAGTACCTCCCGTAGAATACTTGCCGGTAGGGTGTGTCGAGGTTACGGTGCAGGCCGAATGTGTACGGTTCTGTACAAAATCGTCTGATTCGACGAGTAATTTGCCAATTCCGCCGATTTATTTATACACGCTATTACTGTATATACTGTATTATGCTAATTGTTATCATACTTAAGTCGTGGTTTTCGTTCAAAACCACGTGATTGTTTATTTTTAACACTATATAAATCTATTTGTTAAGCCGATTTCGCTGATTTAACGTGACAAAGCCGAAATTAACGGTGCGAAAAAGCAGAAATCTGGACACCCTATTTGTCGGTCGTCCAATCAATATACATGAATAAGAATAATATAATAATTGGCAGAAAGATATGCACCATTAAAATATCCATGACGAGGGGATTACTATACACCGCGACGTACGGTAGTTTTCATGATATAGACCACCAATACATGTTTTGATATCATCTAGACGAATATGATTGTTTTTGCAAACCTTCTGTAAGTAGTCAGTGAAAACTTTATCATTAGATAATTTCGTTAACATTTCGTCTATGGGTATAATGGATCGATTTTTCAAAGAAATCTATTATGAAAAATAATAAGTAAATGCTTAATTGAACAGTGAGAGCAGATCAATAACATACCTGTGAACGAACATATTCCAAGGCACCCCTTAAGCTGTTTAAACGTTCCAGACGTAATATTGATCGTTCATATTTTTTACGGTTTCTCGAGCCTTTTCTAGTTCTTGCACAATTTGATAATAGTTGCTTTTTTTATATATATATAAATTGATAAATTTTATGTTCTGTAAAAGTTTTTCGTTTCTTTTGTTTTTCTTTGGCATCCCATCCTCTTTGTCACACTAGTATGTTAATGAAAATATTCGTTAGTAAAAGCACACTTTCATTAATAGCAAATGTAAATTTCTTCACAGTAAGGTCCATAACCGATACCTCCTCCAGAATCAGTAGACCTTATTTAAAGAAACTTCATTAGGTCGCTCCTTTGTGGTGCCGGATGACCAATACGTATCGAACGGTAATCACCTCTGTAACGTCATTTTATATGAACAAATCACTTTGGTGATCTCATAAAGGAAACCTTTATGGTGCCGACGACCATGTTAGTCAAACCCGGTAATCACCATTGCAACGTGTTTTATATATGATGACACCTTTTCACTGCATCAAACAAATTGCCTTGGAGATCTCACAAAGGGAACCTAAAGGAAAAGGAATTTGCTTACCTTAAACAGTCCGCTCTCATCATTCCCTTTCTGTTCACGACAGAGGGGTTGCAAAATGATATAAGAGGAGTTTTGATTTAATTTATCAAAACAATCACGTCACATGACCAATTGATTGTCGCGGTGTTAGGGCGGCCGCATAATTGCGCTGGCCAATCAAAATATGCATGCGGCAATTTATTATACGTCTAAAAAAATTAAAAAAAATGCCAAAATTTTTTATTATATTTATTAATTCTTATTAAAATATAAATAATTTAAAATTGAAATTGATTATCACAAAGAATATTTCTATAAGCTGAAAAACTTCTTTCTATATTTATTTCTGATACCAGAAGTCAAATATATATTAATGCTATTTTAAACAAATTTGAAAAATGTAATTTTTTATCTTTTCAATATTAATCAAATCTAAATCTTCTTTTCTTCGAAATTTTCATTTAATTCCTTATTTATATAAAATAATATTATTAGGATTTTTGAATTTAACACTTTATTATATTTTTAAATATTATATTTTGCTTATTAACTTGTATAAATTAATGATTAAAACATTAAATAGCTTTAAATAATAATAATACAGAATAACAATTAATATGTTTTTTAAACTTATTTAATATCAATTGAAAAGCTTTACAAATTACTTTTTGAAATAATAATGAATTTACAGTATATTTAAAGAATTAAATTTGATGTTTATTTTATTACTAATTGAAGATTAAATTATATTTAATTGTAAATGAAATTTAAATAAATATAATTTTGTAAACATAAAATATGTAATAGATTTGTTACAAGTTTTAATTATAAACTGTTATAAAAACTATAAAAACTATAAAAATAATTAATAATTAATAATTAAATTGATTTTTTTAAAAAAAAAATCCTTATTCATTTATTACTAATTTCTTGAAAATTTCTTTTTATATTAATTTCTTGAAAAAAATATTTTTTGCTTTCTTTTCAATATGTTAACTATACTATAAGCTCAAGGATATAAGAACTTTAAAAACCATTATTGCATCAGAATAAAATTTTTAATTAAAGATCAAGCAAGTTTAGAAGTTTTGCTTGTTCTTTGATTGTATAAGAAAAGCCTATAGCAATTTTTCTTTATAATTTTGTTTTTATACACTTTTCTCTTCTTAATATTTATAATAATCATTCTCATATCAATCTTTAACATTGTTAATTTATCCTTAAAATTATATTCAAGCAAAGTTACTGGATCTCTTACTTGTTTTAACCAAACCTTTTTAACTATTTTCATGATATACAATATTATATCACTCAAAATTTATTTGCAATAAAAAAAATAATAATAATAAATAATTAAATTAATTAAAATTATAAAAATTATAACTTATTTTTTTGTATTAAATATAATAAATATTGTTAAATTTTCAAGTATAAAAATATTTGTTGAATTATTAAATATTTCAATTAATTCTTTAATTGCTTTGCTTTATTATTTACATTTTCTTTATTAAAAAAAATTTTTTTTAATAATATAAATGTTTTTTTATTCAAAAAACAAAATTAAATTATAAAGACCTATAGGTCTATAGCATAGTGGTAATGCTCCATAGGTCACCAGGAGAAGGTCTAGGGTTCAATCCCGCCTGATTACAAAAATTTATTACTTTCATAATTGGTTGACCAGCTTCCAATTCATGTCGTATCCAATTAGCTGACAAATCTATATTCAAATTTAGTTAGGCTACATGAATATGGGACCTCTGGTCTTTCCGACGATCACAGGCTGAAAACAGGTCGAAGCAAGGAAGGTTGCATGAGAAAAGGTTTCTGGTCTAACTCCGGTAATAAGCCCACAAACTCTAATCCAAACTGACAACGACAGACTTCGTCACACAACATAAAAAGGTTAATTCTAAGCTGATCTATCCCAATCTGAAGCTTGTAGATCCATCCCAATAGTGGTGTTCCACAAAACTTAATCATATGGCCGATGGGCAAGGTATCAATCACAGGTGGTGAGAAGATTAGACAAAAATTGTTAAGCCAAGTGACTTTAGTGAGGATCTACAAGATTAAATCGGAATCCAAGCAAGGATGCCAGTTCCACAAGTGGTGAAAATGGTAGTATTGCACTATGCTAGTGGCACATCCCGAGAATCAATAATAACAGGTAATTGGAATGACTGGGATTAATCTCTATAATTAACATCCCATACACACTGCTCTCTGCAATAATGGACCAGCAGGTTTAGGTGGATTTTAAACTAGTGGTAGGATTCCCCTGTGAAAGTCTTACCTGACATGTGAATACATCTACTTGATGTTGAACATATAGTTAGGTAAAAAAAAGTGGTTAGCGTAGCTAGTCTTATAGTAATATATGTACTAGGCAGTGTTAATCTGCAGATTAACTGTAAAGACATAAAGAGTATTCATGTATCAACCAACTTTCGGTTAGTTTGTAGAGACACTTGGTATCTGTCTGGATATTAAATATATCAATATTTTATATTGCAATTTCTAATTATTTAAATTTATTGTATTTTATCCAAGTATTATTAATTTAATTAAAATATAATAAGTAACAAAATTAATTGAATTGATATTTTTTATTATAATTCAATAAATAATAATTTAATTGAAATCAAACTTTAAATATATATATTTTATAATCTAATTAATAAATTTATTTATAAATATTGATTTAAAGTCAAAAAATATACTATAAATTATAGATATAAATTTATATATATAATATAGACAAAATTTTTTCAACAATTATGAACTAAAAACAGGTTGAAGCAAAAAAGATTATATAAGAAAAGGTTTCTGATTTAACTTTTATAAAAAAACTTATATTCCTTTTTGGCATAGCAGACTTTATATATTTTTCAAATAAAGAGAATAACTTTAAGCTAATTTATTATATGTTGAAGCTTAAAGCTTTATTCCAAAAGTAGTAATTTTTGGAACTTAAATTAGACTGAAAGAGTAAAGGTTATCCATTACAAATAGTGATAATCTAGGCAAAAATCATTAAGACCAAGTAAGTTTAGTAAAGTCTTTAAGATTAAATTAAAATTCAAGCAAGGATGCCAGTTTCATAAGTGATAAAAATAATAGTATGATATTATACTAGTAATATATTTTAAAAATTAATAATAATAATAATTGAAATACTAAGGTTGGTTTTTATAATAATATTTCATATGATTTTTCCCTAGCAGATAATTAAAAAATATAATTGAATCAATAGAATAATAAGCTTAAATTAGTAATAGAACTTTTTTCATCCTGTGTAAGTTTCATTTAAGGGTAGGTCTATTTACTTAATACAAGCCAATTAAAATAGTCAGGTTAATCTAAGAAAAAACCAGTATTACCAAAAACAATAAGTAATTGGATTAGTATAAGGCTCCTAACGAGCTAAATCAAGCTAAGTTGAATAGCTCTTGAGCTTTTATTTTTGTTATTTTTTATATAGTAGATTATACTTCAACCAAATTTTATAATATTATTTATATTATACAAGTTTATATAAGTTTATGCAAGCCTATAAAAATCAAAAACATGCATAATTTTTGAAACCCTAGATTAGTATTAAGCTATATTTAAATTAGAAATAATTTAGTTTATAGAAGATATTTGATATAAATATTATAAGATATACAAATATATAATATCAATAAAAACCTTGCATCTAATATCTTTTTTTTTTTTGATGGGTGGCTTACACCTTGTTTATTAGATATTATGTAATGAGTATATACAAATTTATTTTATACAAATTTATCACTCTATCTACCTAATTAAACTCACTAAGGAGGATTCCTATCATGTGGCTTATTGCCAAGTACTGATATACTGTATACTTGACTAATTTGCCAAGGCTCTATCTGTCCCATAAAAATTTAGTTTTGAAGGAGTAGATTGTGTTCCAATTGATCCAGTGAAAACTGGCGAATTTCATGATATCATTGATTTCTGGAATAGATGATTTGTTTGAGTTCTTTCTTGTGTTTATGGATTTCCACTGTTTTTTGTCTTTGGTAGTAATGTTTTGTTCCTTTTCCCATTGTACGGATTTGTTGCATCTGTGATTCCATTTTTCTTGGGTTTCATGAAGGAATCTATTGATGATATTTTTTATCGTTTCTTTTTAGTTTTCTGTTGGTGTATATTTTTTGATAGTTTTTATCATGTCTGTTGTAAGTGCTCCTTTTGCTATGTAGTTTTTAACTTCTTGCATCTTGTATTTTGCTTCTTTGTTGAGTTCTTTATTTAAGTTGTGTTTGTTAAGGTTGTTGTTTTTGTTGCTTACTTCCTCGTTAATTATTTGTTGTAATTTTTTATATATGTCTGCTCCATTCTCCTCACATGTTATGCAGTGTGTGTTGGTTTCTATTTGTTGACAGTTGAGACATAGGTTATCTTTATAAATATTTGTTGCCCTTTTGTATAGTTTGTCTTTAATCGATAGTTCTAGATTCCAAAGTCTGATTCTGAATGATCTGATTATATGGTCTTCTTGGTCAGTTGGTCCTGTTGTGAGCTTTAAGGGTGCTCTGTTGATTAGCAACTCTTCCCAAGCGATGTTGTTTAGTGTGGAGGTGTTGTCAGTTGTAATGAGATTGCGGTCCAAGCTTCGCCAGTTGAGGATGTATTTTGTTTTGATGAGATTTTTGATTGAGGTTGTGATTGTGTTGTCTAGGGTGTTGCCATTCCATTCTTGTGTCCATCGTGTTTTGTTGTTTCTGATGAGTATGCATACTATTTCAGATGTTTTTCCCGAGATTGTTGTTTCTTTCGTTTGTGAGTCTGCTCTGTTGTTATGAATATCGTTATTATGTGCTTTGATTTTTTTCCATGTTACAATCAGTTTTTGGTTTTTTATGATGTGGATTATGGAGTTGATTATATTGTTGTTTCTCAATGTTCTCAGTTTACTGGGATTATCCTGAGCTTTGTTGATTCCTCCTAAAGCTGCTTGGCTGTCACTGTAGATTGTGATTTTACTGTTGGCAGGAGCTGTTGTAAGAAGAGTAAATATTGCTGCAAGTTCTGCTCTTGTTGAGAAGGAAAATTGGTTGATTCTTCCTTGGAAGGTGATGTCTGGTTTTTGGATGATGTGCCAGCCGAAGCTCATTTTTTGATTTAGGTCTAAAGATCCATCTGTGTAGGCTGTAATTT